ATAGTTATTGATTTCAGAGAGGAAGGGGGAGGGAGAGAGAAATATAAACATCAATGATAAGAATCATTGATCGGCTGCCTCCTGCACGCCCCCTACTGGGGATCAAGCCCACAAATCTGGGCATGTGCCCTTGATGGGACTCGAACCCAAGACCCTTCAGTCTGCAGGCCGATGCTCTTATTCACTGAGCCAAACCGGCTAGGGCCTTCCTACATTTTTAAAAATGTTTTTAAAGATATATATTTTTATTTATTTCAGAGAGGAAGGGAGAGATAGAAACATCAATGATAAGAGAGAATCATTGATCGGCTGCCTCCTGCACGCCCCCTACTGGGGATCAAGCCCACAAATCTGGGCATGTGCCCTTGATGGGACTCGAACCCAAGACCCTTCAGTCTGCAGGCCGATGCTCTTATTCACTGAGCCAAACCGGCTAGGGCCTTCCTACATTTTTAAAAATGTTTTTAAAGATATATATTTTTATTTATTTCAGAGAGGAAGGGAGAGATAGAAACATCAATGATAAGAGAGAATCATTGATCGGCTGCCTCCTGCACGCCCAGGCCGATGCTCTATCCACTGAGCCAAACCAGTTTGGTCTCTATCTCTGAACCTAGCCCTGCACCTCCAGTGAGCAGAGGGATGTCCAGCAACTTAACCTCTCTGAGCTGTAAAAATGGGGATTTAAAAAACCAAAAGACCCAGAAGGGTTTGGGGAAGATTAAGTCTGGACGCTTTTACTACAGTGCGTGGTAAACATTCTCTCCCTTTCTGCTTGCTTCTCTGTGGCAGCTTCCTACTCGTGGCTGTGGCTCCATCAAGGAAGCCAGGCCAGCGGGGAGTCCCCAGGTGGGCGGAGAAGCCACTCTTGTCTCTTTGTGCCCAGAAACCCTGCCCCACATGCATAGCTTCCCCCAGGGGCTTGGACTCCGGCTGTGGGCTCCCCAGTGGGGGGCGTGCAGGAGGCGGCTGATCCATGATTCTCTCTCATCATGGATGTTTCTATCTCTCTCCCTCTCCCTTCTTCTCTGAAATCGATAAAAATATGTTTAAGGAGGGGAAGGACATCTTCATTGTCATCGTCCCCCTCAGACTGACGCCGGAGTCCTAGAACTGGAGGGAGTTGACTCATGTGCCCAACTGCTCCCCTCTCCCCCATCCAGTTCTGTTAGATCCTTGGGGGTGGGGCCAGCTTTGGGTGTTATTTAAAGTCTCCCGATGCCTCTAATGTGTAACCAGGGTTAAGAACGACTGGTCTAGTCCAGCCTCCTCATTGTGGAGATGAAAACACACAGGGGGACAAACAACCCCAGGAAGATGGAAAGAAATATTTAAAGAGACAGAGTCTAATGCAAAGTAAGCGCCCCAAGAGGGGGGCTATTGTGATGTCATTATTCATTATTTCTCTCATCGCTCTATTAGGGTGTATGCTCTGCAGGCATTTAACATTTTTTTAAACAAGGGGTCCCATGTTTTCACTTTGCCCTGGGCCCTGCAAGTGATGGAGCTGGTCCTGGCCCTAAGCAGAGTGGGCTATCACCCCATTAAAGAAAGAGGAGGGGCGCCCGGCTGGTGTGGCGCAGTGGTTGAGCACTGACCTATGAACCAGAACGTCATGGGCTCAAACCCCAGTGGGAGGCGTGCAGGAAGCAGCCAACCAGTGATTCTCATAATGGATGTTTCCTTTCTTTGTGTGCTTTTTAATATATTTTTATTGATTGCAGAGATGAAGGGAGAGGGAGAGAGAGAAAGAAACATCAATGATGAGAGAGAATCATTGATTGGCTGCCTCCTGCACGTTCCTACTGGGGATCCAGCCTGCAACCCAGGCATGTGCCCTTGACAGGAATCGAACCTGGGACCCTTCAGTCTGCAGACTGACCCTCTATCCACTGAGCCACACCAGCCAGGGAGATGTTTCCTTCTTTTTCATTTATTTATTTATTTATATTTTTATTGATTTCAGAGAGGAAGGGATTGTGAGAGAGAGAGATAGAAACATCAATGATGAGAGAGAATCATTGATCGGCTGCCTCCTGCACGTCCCCCACTGCAATTCGAGCCTGCAACCTGGGCATGTGCCCTGACTGGGAATCAAACCATGACCTCCTGGTTCATAGGTGGATACTCAACCACTGAGCCACGCCGACCGGGCATCATCATTGATGTTTCTATCTCTCTTTCCCTCT